ATTCAGATTCAGATTCAGAGAAAGAGAATATATCACTTCTCAACTACATTGATGAAAATGACTGAGAATGGCCTGATCTTACATAAGATGAATTAGAGTCAGCTATCTTCTCAAGTTCTGTTAAAACTGCTGCAGGTCCTGATTCAATTAATCACTTGATTATTCAAAATACATATTTCTAGTTAAAGAATGAATATTTTGAGCTCTTTTTCAATCTCTTGAAAAAAAAAAAAAAAAAAAAGAAAAATGAATATCATTCTGAATGCTGAAGAGAAGTCACTGAAGTGATTCTTGCAAAACCTAATAGAAAAACTTCAATTTCTAAGTCATATAGAGTAATATCTCTATTGAACTGCCTAGAAAAGGTTTTAGAAAAGATAATGACTACTCAACTATCTTTTATAAGCTCTATAAGTCATTCTCTTTTATTCAGTGAATAAATGAGAGATAGAAAACAGTGTTCTGTAATTAACACTGTTCTCTCAGTTATTCATGATATTCAAATAGCAAAGCATGAGAATCTGGTCTCAACTGCAGTTTTTATTGATATAAAAGAAGCATTTGATCATGTTTCAAAGTCAAAGTTAATTCATACATTGAAGATATTAAAACTGTCACTTTCTCTAATAAAATGAGTTAACTGTTTTATATCTAAAAGAAGTATACAACTCTTCTTTAATGAAATGAAACAAGACAAGACTGAGATAAAAATAGAAGTATCACAGAGATCTTCAATCTCACTCATTTTATTTACAATATACACTGTATATCTATTCAAAAATAGAAATATGAGAATAGTGTGATCTCTGAGTTATGTGAATAATATTGATCTAGTCTACAGCTCAAAAACTATCAAAGAGAATTTGAAAGTAATTGAAGAAGCTGTAAAGAAAATCTTTGTTAGAGCAGATATCAATCAAATTTAATTTAATATGAATAAAACTGAGTTAATTCATTTCTTTTCTACATTCAATGAGAAAGAACTATCTCTAACTCTTTTAAATAGAGAGATTAAACTCAGTGTAAATGTCAAATGATTAGAAGTATGATTAAACTTCAAGTTAAATTTTAAATATCACATTCAACAAAGAACTGTCAAGGCAGAAAGACTATTGAACAACATAATCAGACTATTAAATACAGAGAGAGGTCTATTCTTGCAGGCTATGAGACAGTTATATATAGCCTGTATTACATCAGTAGCTGATTATGAAGTTCAAGTTTGATGAAATAATCAAGAGAATTTCACTGAACTCTTTCAAAGTCTGCAAAACAGAGCCTTGAGAAGAATTCTGAAAGCATTCAAATCATCTTCTATTAAAGCAATGAAAATTGAAGCTTCAATTCCTTCTTCTACTATTAGATTTGAAAAGATCTGTATAAACTATGCTCTGAGAGTTGTAAAGATAAGCTTAAATCATATAATCAGAGAAAGAGTCTCTTCTTCATTTTCATCAATTAACTCTGGAAATGAACTGAATTGAAATAGATTTCTTGATTGAAATGAAAATAATTCTTCAAAGAAAATGTCTTCTCAACTGTACAGACTATACTCTCTGATTAAAAATCAATTTTCTTCTTTAAATGTTGAAAAAGTTGATCATGAGAAGTTATCTCTCTGAAGAGAAAAGCTTGAATCTCTTATAGACTTACAAATAAGTAAACTATTAAAAGAGAAAGAATATGAACAGTATTTGAAGAGAATTTCTACAATCAATATAAAAGACTCTATTCTGATTTATTCAGATGCCATAAAAAATGAGAACTTGAATAGATTAAGTGCAGACATTGCTTATACTGAAGATAATATCAATTTTATCTCAGATTTCTGAAATCTAGGCTGTGAATCTGAAGTCTTTGATGCTGAACTATTTGTAATAGTGAAAGCTTTCAAACTCATTGAAATAAAATCTCATAAAAGAGAAAATTGTTTGAAAGAGACATGGATATTCTCTGATAGTCAAGCTGCTTTAAAAAGACTTAGAAATAGTCAGATTTATAATAGTCAAATGAATCTTGAACTGATCTTAAACTCTGTTTTGAAAATTCAAAAGAGAAGAATATCAAAGCTGATAATTCATCTGCACTGAGTTCCTACTCATATGAATATTCATGGCAATAAATTGACTGATTTAGCTGCAAAAAAGGGTGCAGAATTAAGCAGATCTATTCAAAAAATTGTGTTCTGATCTTTTATAAAGAGAAAAATAAAAGAATCTTGTTTAGACAAGTGAAATGAAAGCTGGCAGAAATAAAAGAAGAGTATACATTATTCAAGATTTGAAACAAAACCCAAGTGAAAATCTTGTTCAATTAAATGTAAAAAGAAAATATTCTCATCTATAATACAGCTGAAACTAGAACATGGCTATTTCAAATCTTATATACAAAGATTTGATGATAGATTTGACTCAATAGAATGCTCATTCTGCAATACAAATGAGAATTCTGAGCATATTATAATACACTGTGCATTATACAATAGTCTCAGAGCCAGATTGAAAGAGAAGTATGATCTAAATCAATTAAATATGAGATTCTTATTCTCAACTGAGACAGGAATTAAATACTTAATAGACTTTCTATCAGAAACTCAAGCAGCTACAAGAAAATGGCTAAATTCAGAATTATCTGAATATGAAGAGGAGAAAATCAACCAGATATAGTCTGTTAAAACAGCTATATACTATCTTTTAATAATTTGTTTTGCTACAGTCTTTCTTTACTTTATCTTTTCCTTTTAATTTCTTTCTGTCTATCTATTTAATGTGTCTATCTTTAAGACTGTGTTCTCTTTTCCTTTGTCATGACATTGTCAAATGATTTCAAAGTATCAGAAGATGTTAAAACACTGCAATTTGTAAACAGTTTTTATATTCTGAGCTGGAATTTTCTGATTTTGCATATCTGAAATTGATGAATGTATAATAGTTAAACTTTACAGATATAGGAAAAACCCTGAGAACTAAAAGTTCTCAGATAGATGTCATAGTCTCTGACTGCATACATCTATAATTGAAGAATAATAATAATAATAATAACTGTCTATCACTCTGAGACTGATGATGCATCAGAACAGATAATTCAGACTGTAAAGAATTATCTTTATAAGTTCTACAATCACTTATAAGACAATTGATATGATCTTCTTCTACACACTGAAGTTACTATCAATGACTGAGATGCTGTCTCAACAGATGTAAGCATATTCTTTCTTATACATGAATATCATATGAAAGTACTGAATCTTCCAGAGATTACATATTTCACACTGAATCTTCACAGTTCAATTTAGATCATGAATAATATAGTAATGAAACTCTGATATATCTGTGATTGAGTAGAAGTCTTCATGACAAGTGCTAAACAGAATCAAGAAGATTAAACTAATATTCATTAAAACTTCACTGAGTAATATAAGATAGAAGATCTGATATAATTGAATCTTAAGAATATATTGATTACACACTCATCTCATATACTGAAATCTCATCACACAAAGTATAAAGTGATAGAAATTCTAGACAGTTATAATTACTATCTTGATATATTATCAGAAATTCATGATATCTTTTATACAAGCTTGCTTCACTATACTATTATTAATTCATTCTCTTTTCAACTGACTTCTGACTGACAGCTGCCAGGGATTATAGAAGAAGATAATGAACTTGAATAAGAGATTGAAGATATTCTTGATAAGAGATCTCACAGCTATAGCTGGTAATATTTTATAATATAAGTTAACTATAATTATCTGATCTGAACTCTGAGTTCTGTGTTATCTGAGACTGCAGCTCTTGACTGATAAGAGCTATGTATAATTAAGAAAGAGAGAAGAGACTAATGTGATGAGCTGTGCCTGATCAATTATATAGACTATTCTATTACACTTTACAGATTTCTACTACTTTGATTCTCAGTTGCTGATTCTTGACTGAAAATCTATGAAATCTCTATTCTTTCACTCTGAAGCTTCACTATGTATGAAAAGCTCTATTCTTTCACTCTGAAGTTTCACTGTGTATATCACTGTGTATGTGTATAAATATTCACTCTAATTACTGATTTTCGTACTTTCTCTTTCTTTCCTTCTCTAATGTTTTTCTCTTTATTATATAAGACCTATATATTATACTGATCTATTCAGCGTAGACCTCTTACAGAACTTATAAGTATACTTAAATTAAAAGTATACTGACTAAGTATAACTGAGAATATTTAGATATATACTTATAAGTATCTGAATTATCAGATTGTAAAAGAATTTAAGAAAGAATTAGAATGTAAGAAAGTATAATATTAGATAATATTAGATTCTCTCTTCACAAGTCAACTACTTCTATATAAATATATAATATAGCTGTTTAAGTAATAAGAGATGAATCTCATAGATATATTATTATAAATACTGAATAAAAATCATTGAATAATCACTGCTATTAACTACACTACTGATTAATTAATAGTAAAAGCAGTTTCAGAGATAACTGAGAAGATAGTAATAAAGTTCTTATATAATAAGATTTATATTAACTATAGAATATTATATAAAATTCTAACTAATAATAATGTAAATCTTGTAGAAGAAGTAGTAAGACATTTCATTAAACAGTTATAGATAAAATATTATAGAATAACATTATATTATCTATAGATAAATAGAAAGATAAAATACTTGAATGAAATTCTGAGTAATATACTGATGAAATATCTAGTGAGCAAGCCTATGAGATTATAAGACAAATATCTCAAACAGATACTATTAGTCACATGAATTCAGCAGCATGCAGTCTTCAAGTGTTTATTATTCTATCTGTTATATGAATTGCATCCGCGCATCCTGAAGAATGCTTTGAAAAAGGTGAAGAAGAAAGTAACAATCACAGACATGAACTCAAGATTGAAAGTGCTCCAGCCATGCATGTGCAAAAGCTAATAAGTTACTCCTGAACTGAGCAATTCAATTGAAAAGAATACAAGACTCACTAGTTAAGAAATCAAGTCTCAAGATGGGAATGTGAGTTCTTGTACGCAATGAGGGTTCTGAGAAGTTTCAACCTAGGTGGTTTGAGCCCTATAAAATACTCAAATCACACCCTCTGGGAACATACGCATTGGAAGAACCAGAGGGACGGGTCTTACGCAACTTAATAAATGGTTCTAGAGGTCGGCAAAAAGGACGGGAGCGTACACGCTGGGAAACGTGGTTCACCAAGCCTATGCAACATCTCCTTGAAATGAGGAGAGCTAGTAACAGCAGCAGAAGTGGCAGAGGCAGGGGGAGCAGGGGTAGCGGGGGCGGGGGTAGCAGGGGCGGGGGTAGCAGGGGCAGGAGTAGCGGGAGCGGGAGAACCGGATGCAGGGGCAAGTGTAGGAGATTTGAGGGGAGTGGCAGAGGGAGAAACAGTGGCAGAAGGGGCAGGGGGGGACACGGGAGACCTGGTCACACATGGCACGGGCAATTCCTCCATTATCACGTCCTCCAAGTTCTTGACCAATGATTCAACATTGGGGTGTTCACTATCATCAGCGGATGCGGATCTGACAACGCGTGAAGATTCTACACAAATAAAAAACAAACAAATCTGCATCTGCATCCACGCGAAAATCATGTCAGAAAACACAATCAGATGCCCGCTGGGAAAAGGAAGGGTCGAGGGTGTATGAGGAGGTGGAGAAGGTGTGCCATCCATGGTAATATGTTCTGGCGATCATTAGAAGAAAAACAAGTCCTGGCCATGTTCCACAACGCGTTCCACTTACTGCCAACGAACTGCCTGGTATGGTCACTACAATGACACTTGTTTTGGGAACGGGGGGCCATTGCCAGGAACGCGTACGATGTGATAGATAAACAGATAGAAAGCATCGAACAGGAGGAGGGGGAAACAGGCACCTTGTATGAGATGGTGGCGTTCGATGATGACGATGACAGGGATGATGATTGGAGGATGGAAAAGTTAGTGGATGAGGGAGTGTAATATAGTGAAAGCTTCTTTGTGAGGGCGTAAGCGGGACACTAGCCAAATCAGGGATAGGCTGTACAATCGCGAACATTAGCGGCGCGCTAATCCGCATGAAGCTAGGGCTTACATCATGGTCACGTGGGCGTGACTGGATCTGGTGGGGGAGGATGTGGTTCAGAAGAATGTACGACCGCTGGATAATAATGCGCCCGCTTCTGAATACACTTACAAATGTGAAGAGGCCCTAGCGGCCACTAATTAATTTAGTATAACGTATATAAGAAGCCGGCGTACACCCGTAATTATACGCTGGCTTAAGCAATCTTTAAATCACAACATTTATAATCAGAAGTAGACTGGCCGCCGGGACCATGAATTTCACATTTGATTCCATTTGGTCTGGTCTCATACATTTCTTGGTGTGAGTCCCATCAGAACTGAGCATCAAAAAAATCTGAAAATGAACTATTTCTGAAAGAAATGATGTGAAAAATAATCAGATTTAATTCAAGAACAGTGAAATAAGAGTAATTTCTCAGAATAAACAGTGAAAGATAATCATTCTTTCGAAATTAAAATAAGACTTAGACTAGACTGATTGTATAACTGTGTCTGAGATCAGAACTAGAATATTTAATAATCTTACTATTAATTCATCTAATCTCATTACACAGTTTTAACATTAGATAGTAGTTTTATACTGTCTCAGTGAGACTTACTATCTACTCTTATTAAATTTTTCAAATAAGATTATAATTTTCACTTCTCAATTTAAATTATTTTTATTGCTTTAAATAACTTTAAATCTTATTTAAGTGTTATCAAAAAGTGTTACTTTCTAAAAAATTAAAAATAATCTAAAAAAAACCTTAAAATATCTAAAAATAGTAACTTTATATCAATAATAAAACTAAATGAAATTAAATAAGATTACTTTCTTATTTTTTCTAAGTTATAATCTCATTTTAAGATCTGATATATAGTTACTTTGCATGTTTTTTTAATAACTAGTCTCAGCAGAATTCATGTCAAGAAATGTATGAGATTAAACTAAATGAGATTATATATGAAATTCATAGTTCTGACAGTCAGTCTAACTGAGACTGAAGATTAAATTCAGTCTCATTCAGTTCATTCTATAATTACTTATATAATCAGAATTTGATAATTCTTGAAGAATAATATTATTGTATTATGTGTACTCTATCTATATAAGTTATACTAAATAGAGTTGAAGTAGCACGTGACTAGAATAGATGTAGTAATTATCAACACTTAATCTTACTATACTATGATATAATAAGCTGTTATTCAGAGCCTTCTCTTATTCTGAATTCTTTTAAAAACATAATAATAATTAATTATATTAATCAGACTCTGATTTTCTCATTAGAAAAGATGTCTATACAGCAATAACTATAAAAATTAAGAAATACATGTAAAATTCATTAATTTACTGTATTATTATTATCATTCAATCATTCTTTTCTAATCTCTTTCAAATTAATTCTTTTGATAAAATCTTTAAACACAGGCTTTATCAGTGACTTGATGAGTCTATCAGCTATATTCACTGTAGAATTAACATATTTCATCATGATTTTCTGTTTTTCAATCAAATTGTAAAGAATATAATATCTAATCTTAATATAATATAATCTTCATGTTAAGAATTCCCTCTTTGCTAGATTGATTGCTCTCTTATTATCAACTTATAGATACAAGTATATTTTCACTTTCTCATCATTTATTAACTCAGTATCATATAACATATTATTCAATCAGATTACTTTACAAGCTATCTCACTAGCTGTAATATACTTAACTTCTGTGATTAATTTAATGATAGATGTCTGTCTTTATAATTATTATAAGATCAGTAACTCATTAATCAATATAACATAGTTAGTAGTTGATTTATATTGAGAATTCACCTCCGCTCAGTCTGAATCACAGTATATTACAGAACTCAGACTCTTATCACTAATCTTCTTTCTGTATAATATGCTGTGATTTTTCATCTTCTTAACATAATGTAGAACATGCTTCAACACTGCTCAATATGTTCTGTACAGATGTGAGTTAAAACATGAGAGATAGTTAACTGTAAACATCAGATCTGATCTGCTACTTGAGATTAAATACTGCAATGATCTCAGCTCTTGATAATATCTCATATGAGTGAAATTATCATTCAATTCATCATTCTCATCAGGTGAAAATTTCAGTTATATATCTGCTGTTATTGAGATCTCTGCAGAATTCATCTTATTCATGCTGAAATCTTCAAGAATCTCCTCAATATAACAGCTCTGTATAACTGCTAGATCACTATTTCTCTGATATTTAATCTTCATTTCAAGATATAACTTGATTTCTTTAACATTCTTTGTCTTAAATCTTTTTATAATCTCTTTTAATACTCAGTCTAATTACTGTTCTTGAGATTTCATCACCTGACAATTATTAACAGACAATGTCAGATAGATCTTGTAAACAGAGTGATATAGAAATTCATCATCATAAGATGATATCTTGAATCTCAATATAGTCAGATGCTCTGTTGCGAGGAAATATTATACTCTTATAACTTGCTTCATTTTATATAGACTCTGATAGAGTAGTTTCATTAAGTCTTCTCTGCTGTGCTTAACATCTGTGAGCAGTTATATATAGATTATCTCATTCTGAGATAATATGTCATTCAAAAATGCAGATATATAGTTAATCAATTTAATCTTTCATTCTTTGACAGTTGATATAGTGAATAGACTATGTGATATAGACTCTGATATCACTGCAGTATATAATCTTATATAATGAATACTCTGCTATTATAAGAACTCTCTAATCACTCAGTGAGCTCTAAAGCAGATAATTTCTTTCTTATTATTGAATTTCTGATTATATACTTATTTATCTGTAAGAATATTCATTTTCAGAGCTTTTTTAACAACAATATATATCTTCTTCTGTTCAAATATCTTAATCTTCTTTTTCATTGTCTCATGTCAATAGTCTCAGTCTGAACTTCTCTTGGCTTTTATCAGTGTAGTTGATCAGTCTGTTAAAACACTTAGAACAGAATCATTCTTATTAACAGAGTCTTCAGACTCTTTATTCATAACAAGCTGTGTCTTATTATCTAGAAGATAGATTGAATCAATTGCACTCTCTAAGTTCTCATTAGCAATTATATTCAAAACATCTGATTTATTCTTTATAAGTCTTCTTAGAAGGCAGTATTATCACCTCTTCATGATGTTAAGAACATTCAATTTCTTTGACAGTTTAACTACTTCTCTAATGACATTTTACCCCCGGTGGCCGAATGGTTAATGCGGCCACCTGGTAGCGCCTTGGCATGGGAAACCAAGGTGTGTGAGTTCGAAACCCGCAGAGAATATATTAAATCCGGAACTTAAGCATCTCAGGTTTCTAATAAATGCAGAGGTGTATAAATCACTTCAATGAATTGCTCTATGTTTCTGAGCTGGGAAGTTATTATCACATGTATCTAATTGTCACTTCTTTATATTTTCCTATGTTCTTGTTATCTTGGCGTGATCTCAACACCTGTATTTTCTCCTGTATAATCAATACTTGACCTATATTTAACATTATACAAGAACTCATCATAAGCTCTACTTGTATATAAGTATAATGAAAGAATAATAATAATAATAATAATAATCTAATGACATTTGCTGATGCTTCTTTCATTGTCAATTCTTCATTAAAAACAATATCTCTTATAATCTCAAGTTTTCAGATTACAGAGTCTTAGATATGATATTAATGCAATTCTTAATATTCAATTAATCATCATTTCTTACTGTCAGTTCTATTTACAAGCTTACTGATAATTTTCAGATTCTTCTTATACACTTTGCATTCTCATCTGCGTATTCAATGAGCAGAAGGTTGAACACCTATTCAAGCTTTAAAAGAAGATAAGAAGATTTCTTTCTAGCATCTGTAAATCTTTGTTGATGTTGAGAATGTATTGATTATTATGACTGTGACTTCAATAGCTTCATCTCAAAGCTCTCTTACAAGTCTGCTGTTAAATAGTAAGCTTCTTATCTTTTCATCTATAATACAATTAACACATTCTACAGAGCTGTTGAACTGTGATGTATCAGATGTAGTAATCTCATATGTAGACTGATCACTGAGACTATGAATTTCATGTTTAATTCTATTTAATCTGATCTTATACATTTCTTAGCATGAATTCTGCTGGGACTAGTCATTAAAAAAACATACAAAGTGACTATATATCAGATCTTAAAATGAAATCATAACTTGAAAAAATGAGAAAGTGATCTCATTTGATTTCATTTAGTCTCATTCTTGGCATAAAGTTACTATTTTTAGACATTTTAAGGTTTTTTTTAGAGTATTTTTAATTTTTTAAAAAGTAACACTTTTTGATAACACTCAAATGAGATTTAAAGTCATTTAAAGCAATGAAAATAATGTAAAATAAGAAGTGAAAATCATGATCTCATTTGAAAAATATAATAAGAGTAGACAGTAAGTTTCACTGAAACAGTATAAGACTACTATCTAATGTTAAAACTGTGTAATGAAATCAGTCAAATTAGTAATGAGATTACTAAAAAATCTGGTCCTAGTCTCAGACACGGTCACATAGTCAGTCTACTTATATGTGATTTCTTTCTGCTAGCAGTAGATCTTTAATTCATCAGTTTTAAATTCATCTTCATCATCTCAGTATAAAGTCTCAATTTAATGTTAAGTAGTGACCTCAATTTCATCAATAAAGATCATCAAATGCACAGTGATCTCACTCTTTGACATCATAAAAATAATTCATCTGTAGTATGTAGCATTATTCATAATACTTATTTAATAATTAGCTTCTCTCTGAGTAGAGAGATTGACTTCGTTATATAGTATATAACTGTCATCTGCAAGGTTCATGAAGAATCTCATTGCAGGTTTAACAGTTCTTGTCATTAATGTAAATGTTGAATATGTCATTTTTATCTGTACACAGATCTTGCAGAATGACAAAGCTCTGTCACTTTTAATTCTTATTTCTAGTCATGAATCTGCTATTAATTTAGTAATATTTGTAGAATTGAGATAATCAAGCTTTTAATGTTATTGTAACATTGTGTGTTCAACAATCTTGATATTCTTATTAAATAATACTAGCAGAGAATCTTTTTTCTCTGTAGACTATAGAATTTTCACAGATTCAGAATTATTATTTAACATTGTGAATTGAATCAAGTCTTTAATCATTAATTGTTTTTTCAGAATGTAGATGTTCTTATCACTTAATTTAGTAGTAAAACTGAATATCTTGTTAGAAGAAATTAGCAAGATTGAATGAGTATTTCTGTAGATCAGTTACTTATATGTATAGCTCTGATATACACACTTTTCAAAACTCATAAGATTAATCTTCAGCTTGGAAACATAGCAGACATTCTACAGCTAAACTGACCGTGTGACCGTGTCTGAGACCAGGACCAGATTTTTTGATAGTTTCATTACCAATTCGACTGATCCCATTACATGGTTTTAACATTAGATAGTAGTCTCATACTGTCTCAGTGAGACTTACTGTCTACTCTTGTCACATTTTTCAAATGAGATCATGATTTTCACTTCTCAATTTAAATTATTTTTATTGCTTTAAATGACTTTAAATCTCATTTAAGTGTTACCAAAAAGTGTTACTTTTTAAAAAATTAAAAATAGTCTAAAAAAAACCTTAAAATGTCTAAAAATAGTAACTTTATGCTAAGAATGAGACTAAATGAGACCAAATAGAATCACTTTCTCATTTTTTTCAAGTCATAGTTTCATTTTAAGATCTGATATATAGTCACTTTACATGTTTTTTTAATAGCCAGTCCCAGCGGGATTCACGCCAAGAAATGTATAAGACCAGACCAAATGAGATCAAATGTGAAATTCATGATTCCGGCGGCCAGTCTATCTACAGCAGCAGATTCACTTCTTCAACTGATATATTTATCTTCTCTATAGCTGTTGTAAGAGCTGTTAATCTGTCAGTCACCTTTAATATAATATTAATCTTCTGCAGTACTATCAATACAAGATTCTTATAAGATATAGTATGAGCACTGAATTCAGAGTTCAGAACCCAGGTATCTTTGTCAGTTTGATCAGCAGAATAGACTCTCTCTATTGTATGAAATACTTGCTTAATAATATTATAAACTGGTACTGAGCCTGTTTCATTCTTATTCTTATTCTTATTCTTACTGCAGCTAGTAAAGTGTTCTTCAGAAAATTTCAATCAGTAATTCATTTGAATGTAATCAATCTTTTGACAATGATAACATGTTTTAGTAGTATTATTACCCTTTCTATCTGACTTAGTGAAATCTTTGTTCTTGTTCTCAGAGATCTTCTTCTTCTTCTTGTCTTTCTTATTCTTATCTTGCGTGTTGTTGATAGAATTTCTAGATATATTAGTATTTACTTCATTCACAGCAGAGAGCTGTAAAGAAATATCACAGCACAGGCTTATAAAATCATTCTCTAAGAATTGAGTATTATTCTTGTCAATTTGATTCGTTTAATTTCTGAATAAGTGAGGCTCAATATCTGTTGACTTCTGTAAGCAGTCTGTTGAAAAATACAACATCTGAAATCTCATATTCTAGATGTATATAGTCAGTTCTTATAATAATTAATTATTTAATAAAAGCTCTGTCAGATTATTTACTTTTAAAGATTATTTTAATAAGCTCTTTAAACAAACAAGTTCTGTGTACAGCAGGCCTCTTAGAAAAGTTATTGTCTATAATAGTTTATAGAGTATAAGCTGATAATTTGAACTTCTTAAGTATAGTGAAATGAGTCTTGATCTGCAGAGTAATTACAGACTATATGTAATTGTATAATCAAAGATTGTATTCTTTTCAGACATATTGCATGTTCATAGTAACTGTGGCAGGCTGCGCCCGATCAATTATATAGACTATTCCATTACACTTCACAGATTCCGCTGAAAGCTCCGATTCTCAGTTGCTGATCCTCAGTTAAAAAACTCATGGAATTTCTATTCTTTCACCCCAAAGCTTCACCGTGTATGTGTACAAATATTCACTTCAATCACTGATTCTCACACTTTCTCTTTCTTTTCTTCTCTAATGTTTTTCACTTTGTTATATAAGACCTATAAATATTATACTGATCTATTCAGCATAGGTCTCTTACACTTGAAAAATGTTCATTGTCTCCTTATTAGAAATGATTACTCATTGAGAAGATATCTGAATATGTAATAATATGCAAGAAATAGAAAAATAATCAATCAGTTAAGTGAACACTGAGTTCTCAGATAGAAGCCTACTCATCAGTTACTCTAATTCTGTAACAAGATCTTTTAAAGAGAATATCAGCAAAAGATCTGAGAGTTTTGACACTCTAGATATATGAGATATTCATATAATTACACTTCTTCAGATTTCACACATATTATACATCTGATAAACAATATAATCATGTCTAATGATAACATGAGAGAACTCTTAAACATGAGTATAGATGTAATATCACAGTGACTCTGAGTAATATTGAAATTACAACAATAATAAATAGCTGATATGCATGTGAATCAATAACATTAATATAAGAAAATTCAATAATTAATTTAACAAGAAATCCCTGCAATTTCAACACTGATAGAATTGAATATGAGCACAATGCAAGCACTGAAGAAATGCTTAGATGCTCTCACATATTTTAATGCTTCTGATCTCACTCTCTACTCATTATGAAGACTGAAAATGCTTATGAAACTAAGTGTAGATGAAGATGTCATCAGTTTGATAATTAATCAAGATTGATATATCAATAAATAATTGAAAAATCACATGAAACAGAAGTTTTATTCATGAATAAAAGTATGTAAATCAGCATTGCAAACATCTGATAATATCATCAAATATCTTGATATTCTGTGTCAAGACACTGTTATATAACAGAAAGTATTAGATTGATTACAGAGTATCTGACAGAGAAATACTTCTCTTACAACATTCATCTCTGACTTCAACATTAAGATTCTAGAAGTAGGTGATCAATCTTAGAAGAATCAAATAAAGATCAGTGTGCTTAAGAAGATATTAACTTTCAAACTCTTACAGACTCTTATAAGTATAGATGAAGACCAGACTTATGAAGATTTCTGTGTATAACTTCAGATATTGAATGATCATCTTATAAAGCTTAAGAGTATACAGAACAGTGATAGAAGATATTACATCTCAGTCACTCATACATCTGTGCTGAGAAATAACAACAATGATGCAGATATCATGAACTAAGTAGACTTAAATATCTATATATAAGCAAGAGTCTTTACAGTCTGAACAGGCTTTCAAGTTTCTGAGATCACTTCTGAAGAAGTCACTAACTGATATTAATGAGAGATGTGTATTAATTGTAACTGATCAGAACACATTACTTTCAACTACTAATCAGTCTATATACCTTCTCACTCAAGAGAAAGATCAGTGTCTTCTTACTCAAATAATGAATCAGTGTCTGTCCACAACAATCATGTTACATTAGAGAAAGATTTGAAAGATAACTATAAGAATATCTCAATGAAATAGGGAAAAGATTAGCTTCTGTTCAAATTCACAAGCAGAAGCTGAAAGAGATTGAATAATGATAATTTGAAGAGAAAATAACAATGAATATAATTCTTGTATCTACTGTGATAGATAACATATATAATAGAAAGGTCATGATAGACAATTATCTATGTCATTATGCAATGATTAAATCTTCAGTCATAAGATATTATAACCTTCAGTGTATCTTCTTATTAAAACTCTGACTTCTTATAGAATTTGATAATTCAAAAGACATTCACATGTGCTACATAATGAAACTAAACATAGATGTCAGAGAACATTAATATGAAGATATCTATACATATGAAGTTAATAATCTTGACTATAATCTTATACTAGAACTTGTCTGACTATCTGAATAAGCCATCTTATTGAATGCTTAAAACAGAAGTTTAATATTCTGTAATAATAATAGAATTCATGAAGATGATATTTATAAGACTATGAACCTTACACAGATCTCTGCCAATACTTATGAAATACTCTGAAAAAGAAGTTATTGATAAGATCACTGACAAAGTTCATTGTCAATTATAAGACATCTTTATACCACCGCTCCATCACGAACTCGCTCGATTTTTCGAATAAGAACCCGCCGTTAGGCCCATCGAAAAGCCCTCAATCATACGAGCATTTTGACCCCATCGCCGACCGCATACGCCGTGTGGTGGTGGAGTTAGCCAGTCAAATGTGAACCAGACGTTGTTCAAAACTTCTGTGTGGGATTATCCCCTGTTCTCCCCTACCACACCACAATCCCGGGCCAAATTGCCATACAAATTGTAAGGTGAAGAGACCTAGCCATATGCATCAATCTTCTTGATTTTGGAAGATCCCTGATCTGTAATTGTGAAGATATCTGAGAAGTGACCTCTGTGAAAACCCTGGTCATCTTTGATGTTTCAAAACATCAATGCCAAGTCCCACCCTTGTACCGCCCTTCCTAATCTGGCCCATCCCTGGCAGAAAAATACAAAAAGATACCTCAGTGATAATATCAAGCACATAACCAACAGACACTTCTGAAGTGTAACCTTCACAGTCTGTCTTCAGTGTATCTAGACATCAATGCCAAGTCCTACCCTTGTACTACTCCTCTCAATCTGGCTCATCTCTGACAGAAGAATATAAAAAGATACCTCAGTAACAGTATTTAATACATAATCAGCAGATAATAAGTCAACAGAATAAGTCAACAGCATATTAACAACTATAAATTCAGTATATCTCAAGATCTGACTGAGTCTTTGATCTCTGCACAGTGAGATATATTAAATCTAGTTTTAATATCTCAATATTCAATAGATTCTGTAAGAAATTGAGAACAGTAACACTAGATTTCTATTGAATTTGAGAATTAACTCTGTATTAATATAATCATTGACAAAGTCTTCTATTGTGAGATATAAATAACCAGTTTCTCTACATCCCACTGATAATATTTATATTATTATATAGAAATAGACTTATATTCTCTATAATATCAAGACTCTGAAGAGAGAAAGTCTTGATAGAGAGTATATAGTAGTGTATATCTTAGCAGTTTCTATCTCATTCTTCTGCAGTAGTTAATGCAAAAAAAAAAAGATCTTAGAAATAGTTTTTTACTTCTCTTGAAAAAGTAAGATGTTTTTCTCAGAGTTTTATACAATATTCTTACAAAGAATTAAAAACAGAGTTGTTTTCTATTATAATTTCATATTCTTTTAAGTAAGAATTACTTTTTCAGTAATTAAAGAGCTTTTATTAATACTTAATTCTTTTTTACACTCTTTATTAACTGATTTGAGTTGCACACTTATTGTGTGAGAAGAATTGAATAATTTAGAATAAAATTGAATAGTTTTAATTAATTTCTCTGCAAAAAATTGATTTATTTTTTATCAGTTTTTCTCTCAAAAACTGTTATATTATCTGATTTATTATCAATTGATATCATACTTTTTCTCACTGTATCTCAAGAAATAGATTATAAAGATTTTATTGATTTATCTTAAAAATCAATTCTAGTTTATTAGATTCTCTTCAAAAATCTAATCTACTTACTGAACTAGTGTGAAAAAAATCAGATATTTTATACACAAAAGTCTTTTATTCTTCTTTTAAAACAGTCTGATCAACTTTTCAATTGAAAACAGGCTTAAAAACCTCTTAATTGAAACAGTCTGATTAACTTTTCAAAAGAGTTCAATACATATCTCAATTACAATAGTCTGATCAACTTTTCACTGCATGAGAATAATGAGTTCAAAAATACACTCAGTTGATGTGGAAAAAGATGCTTTCTCAAATACTATTTCTGAGATTAAAATTCTGAAGAGAAGAAAGAAAGAAGAAATAGAGAAATAATAAGTGCTTGAAATACAGAAACTTGAAAAAGTAAGCAAGATTCTTGAAAAGCAGTGTCTGAGTGAGATGAATGAAGAAGTTCTGTTAATTCTTCATACTCAGACTAGATAACTACAGAAGATGATCAAGTTCAAACTTGAAATTTCAAATATAGTTCAAAAAACATTGAAAATTTCTAGTATAATCACTGACTTCATATCTTACTCTTCTTCCTCTTTTTCTACTTCTTCTTCTTCTTTAAATTAGAAGAAAATATATGCTCAAGCAGCTGAATCTGCTATC